ACCTAATCTATACAGTAACAGGGTGAAAGTTGTAAAGCCAGGAATAGCACAGTTGTATGACCAGTACGAGCTGACATTTGTATAGATCACCGCTTAAAAAGTTGTACAATTGAATTTTTTTCGCAAAAAATAAGCCAGGATCGACTTAAAAAGCTTTTAGCGACAGCAGGAACAATTAAAGCATATGTCATCACTTCTTAGACTCACTGACCGGTACCCATGAAAGTCATGTTTTCCAAATGTTTACGCTGTATTAAGTGCAGTAAAAGATACTCTAGAACGGAACAACTCAGCAAAGTTGTAGTTGCTGCAGCAGCGATTGTAGATGCAATCTTCCATCTTCTCAATTAACCTCCGAAATTCGCCCCTCCCAATTATTTGTGCAACATTACCATACTGCGAGCCAGAAGCAAGGAGTTTCGTCTACTATGGGTCAAAACTGAAGAAAGTGGAAAGGCCGGAAAGGTTTCCAAACAATGAAAATGGGGGGTTCGGAAAGTTTAGGCAAAAGAAAAGTATTCGCTGTTTGAATCGCCACCACACAAGATGGAATGCAAGTTGGCTTCATCATCAAGTAGACCTTTCATTTTCATTTTCATTTTCATTTGTACGCTCAAGGCGTTCCACTACAAAAGAAAAAGAAAATAAAACACACATCGAGAAGTTAGTAATACAGCGGAATAAGCAATAAACGAATGCAGACATCATCATATCAATCCGAGTCTAATCCTAGTCAGACTAATGTAAGGAAGATGAAACGGCTTGCATTGAATATGTTGATAGGCTAATAGCTAGATATGTATAAAAATGTAGGCATTGATAGACATTGATACTCATAACTCCAAAAGTTATAACTCCAAGGAGATGGGACCCATGCCCCCTCGTTGCCAGCGGAACCTTGCTTACCTCAGGTTTGTAAAGTTGCAATTTTTTAGTGCGGTTTTTTTGTCAATAGTTGCACAATCCAAAAATCATGTGGACAACAAGGATTTACCTGAAAGGAAAAGCACGCTACAGTAATAGGCCCCTTCGTACAATAGTAGCCTACTGAGGAACTGGAAAGTGAGTGGATTTTAGGCCGCTTGGGACGAGATATCGTGGGTATGGACAAATTGAAAACCTCTGTAGAACAAACGGGGGTTTCGGCAGTAAGATTTTCTGTAGTGGAAAAGGAAATGTGCATACTTTCTGAAAGTGGGAGTGAACAGGGCTGGGAAACTATGTCGATGTAAGAGGCCATCTCAGCCAGAGGAACTTCTGAATGTAAGTGTGAGAGCATCCAAGTATTGTCGCAAAACGTCGGAGGAGTGAGAAACTGGCATTTACAGGCACAGTTGCACAAGGCTGTCCTTGGGTTGAAAACGCGCTCTCGCAAGAAGCGAAGAGGTCCACACGACCATCTGTAGCAAACCGCAGACGTGGTGCTACACCATGGCGTTGCGGAGTGCGTCATCTGAATTTTGGCGTGATTCAGATTGGATTAGGTAGACGTGCAAGCAGCGCATTTTGAATAAGCAGCTTCGAGGCAAGGTTTGAAGGCTTATTAGAATTGAGAAGATTGAGAAACGATAAAGATTCGCAGATCACGGGAATCTTTTGTGTGAAAGGAATTGGTGGAGGAGAAGGGAAGCAGAGCAATTTGACTATAAGGACAACGCAAGATCAAAAAACGCAGAAATGCACAAAATTATGTACCCTGTAGAGCGCAGGAATAAACAGCGGTGCTGATAGAAGAAGGTGGGAAGAAGTAGCCGAACTTCTGTTGGGACTTCTGCTGAGAAAACTTTGGAACTTTTTAGCAGAAAAGATTAACCCCTGACTTCGACAGCCTCTTAGTTTGTCATCTGTCTATAAATCACCATATTTTGAGGAGGAAAAGGTTCGCCACAGGACTTTAGAAGTTTTTGGCACAGAGATAAGCATTGCTTTACGATGTGTTGGTATTTATAGCCAAAACTGCGGGGATTACATCTGCCAAAAGCACTGCATTCTTTATTTCTTCTTGCATTACAGAAACTGTTTTCTGGGGCAAGGAAAAATCGTGGGAGGAGGAGGGGTAAAGTACGAGAAGATCTTTATCTAAAAATATCAATCCGGATCTGATGGGTACCACATAGGCTAATTACCTCAAAAGTGGCTCGGGAAAATTGCAACTGCACGCTTACTGTCCCTCCTTGGACTTCTAGATGCGTTTAGACCAGAGCTGTGCTTGAAAAGCTAAAAAATTGCTTTTTGCGGCGTTCTCCGGCCTGGAGATTGCTGAGGACGCCGGAGCGGAGATTCCCGCCAAAAACGGTAACTGGCTGCAAGAGTCTGTAACACCGCCCATGGCGGCAATTGGCTGACTGGCCCAGGCAACCAATCGCAACTCGGCTGCGGGAATACCGATCCAGCCTCCACAGCAATCTAAGGTCGGAAAACGCCATAGATAGCAATCTTTTAACTTTTCAAGCACAGATCTGGTCTAAACGCATCTAGAAGGCCAAGGAGGAACAGAAAGCTCGCACTTGCAATTTTTCAAGCCAGTGCCTTTAAGTTCAGTGTTAGTACACGGAAATTTTTGCAGCTGCCACCCCAGGTGGGATCGCGTGATGATTTTTCGTTCACTAAAGCTTTTCATTGAAAATTAATAGTGGAAGGATAAATTGCCAGATGGTTTAATAGCGTAAGTGACATTAGTTCTACAGTATGTGACTTTTTACGCTTTGGGAGAGATGAGTACAAAAGTGGTTTTTCGGAGATTATAGCCGAAGTAAAATGTACATGAGGGCATTTCCTATAAGTTTAATGTAATCTCGCAACCTCCTCTTCCTCTTCAAAATTGCATTATTGGATAAAAAAGCAAAAAAGAAACTGCTACTTACTCCCTCAAAGCCCAGCGCGCGACCTGCCCACTCGGCGATTCACCCGCGCATTTATCCATTAGTTTAGCATCTTTTATGGAAAACGTTGTCCTTGTGCATCAATCCAAATACTCTATACTCATGTCATTTGCTCCAATAATTTGAGAAAATTCCTATCTTGCTGAGGCTTCATGAATTTTCAGCGGTGTCAGCCTCTTGAATCTCTGATAAAGTTAGTTATGCGCCAAAGATTGAGGAGGATCAAGACATAAGTACTCTATTCTACTTATAGATGGCGGAAATGCTAATTTTAGTACACAAGTCCTTTATTTTCCGAAGTGAAATTACGTGTTGAAAATGAAAATGTTCATGCCTGAAAACGGGATAATTTACCGAATCTTGGAAGTATCCTGGAACAGAAACCATCCTAAGACTGCTTCTTGACATCGAATTTGTGTAACTGGCAAACTTAATGCTAAACTACTATGGTTTGATTTGATTTTTTTCGTCTTCAGAAACTATAACATATAAGCTATAACATATATTATGTGTGCATGCAAGAAGTGTAACTTTATCTTGCTTTACAAAAAAAAAACAAAACTGAAGTATTCCAAGTGCCAAAAAAAAGACCAAAAAAAGAAAAGAAAACGAACACCAAAAATAATCCTCAATTATTTTCAATATCGGCCCAAAAAGAAAAACAGCAAACATTAATCATTTTGGTTTCGGCGACCTACTGAACAGGCAGTCTAAGAAATGTCCGCTATGCATAGTATCCCAATAATCCCACCAAATTCGGCAAGCCACGCGATTATAATCCCAATAGCGGAACCACTGAAACATGTGCGTAAGTTCGGCTAGAAAAAGTATTTACGCCAATGATAGTTCGTTCATGGTTTGGATTAGAGTTAGTTTTCCTATCTTCAATGGGAACAAACTTTGTAAAACAATATTGCTCTCAAAATAGCAACTTCGCAATCTTGAAAAATAACTCTCACCCGAGTCCACCAAATGTAATGAGAGCTAAAAGTCGTTATTATAATTCTCTCCCAGCTATGCGAGGAGCACTGCAGATTTTTTGTAACTTCAAACTTATTTTGCTGTCTGGCTTCAAATTCACTAAAATTACTGTACAAATTTTTGCTTTTTTGAAATCTCTATCCTACTGTTCGTTAGAGTGAATAAATTCCTCCATTCTACAACAATAATTTACAGTGCAATTTACGTGAAGTTGGAAATTTTTCAACAAAACTTCCGCCAAAACATCTTTTTTCATAGCTAAATTGATAGAAGAAAAGTAATCATGCTTCTGCAAATGTTATCGGGCTTTGCTTCATTAGTATTTCTGCACTTTACACCCTCAAAGCATAATAAAAAATTTCTTAGACTTCTAAAGCTCCGTTTATCATAGATTTTCAAAGATTTTAAGTTAATGTAAGTAAAAAAATGGTATTTTTGAAATTTTCGCTCATTTTTGTTTCACAGTTTTTAAAAGAAATGTGATGTTTACATACATAAACTTCCAAGTGAAGAGAACAAGTTTGAGAATCCATGTGATTGACTTAGAAGCAAATTAGTTGGGTAATTGAAATACATTAGTTTGGTTTATGATGCGAATCATTGGTGAATTATTTGCGAATGTTGGAACTTGTAGCCCTTGTTGAGTTTGCTTTGCTCAAGTGGATAGTCAAGTTCTCAAACAGTAAATAGAGCATTTAATACGCACAAAATTCAATGACTTGCTAAACCCGCTATAACACCTTTAAAATCAGCGTCCACCTAAAATTCGCCTCCCACGTTTTGCCATTCTGGGTCCTTTCCGTCGCCCTGAACGGTTATAATGTTCAAATTTGCCAAAAGCCCAAAAGAACCCCGATTTCTGGGGAGCCCGTCTAGAGGGTGCGGACGGCTTTCAGTATAGAGATGGGCGGAGCTGGATAGGATTTGGGCGGGGCTTCATAGCATTTTAGCTGTTCCAGGCTCCTTATCTCTATTCAAAGACAACATTAGAGGACAGAACTAACGCAGATGCTCCTCTCCTGGAGCCTACATTCAGGATCGACAATAATCGGCGTATGTTAGATCTAGCCTGGACACTGCTTTGATTATGCTCTCTAGCTGGGAGAAGACGATGTTGTGTTATATGTTATTCGCAACTTAACTTACAGACAGAGTCCAAATATAATTGACATCATCGGCAATTAGGTTAACGTTCTCTCCTTTGTATCTAAAAGATTTATTGATTCATACTTAAAGGGGACGCTAATAGCCTTCAACTTACACTGAAATCCAAATCTGATAATTATTCGAACCGTTGCTATAGCCACTCCACCAATTCCTGTCCTTCACATTCCGATAGAGTTCACAATGCAAATCTTTATCGTAGATCTGAATAGAAAATTTCATGTGGTGCAAAAATCGTTCAAAGCTAATTTAATTAGCGTTGCAAACAAAGCAGTTCTCCTTCATTCATATCAGTATAACGGTCATTTAAGCTAAGCAACTAGTTGCGTACTTCTACTAAGATTTGAAATTATTATCAAGTTCTCACCAAATTCCAATTAGGGTAGTATGAAGCAATTTCTTTTTTAAATGCGTCGACTATTTTACGTTTGCTATCGTCACTCTCATAAAAACAGTTGTCACAAACGTGAAATCCGCCACCGACCAGACAAGTTCTCTTAGGATCACAAGGTTCACAGTCATCGTCTTCGACTTTAGCAGAAGTATGAGCTGCCAGAATCTAAATACGGCAACTATAATATCAATCATTATTTCTCAGAAGCAACCTACAATGAGTAGACAGTAAAACCTCATTTTGAATGGTATCTACATGTTCCACAAGCGCTTTTATACGAAAACTACCGAAAGTATCCAATTGCCAGGTTCAATAAAAAAAAGTGCGAACGTTCTTTGACCGTAATTCGATGGAACTTTAATTTTGGAGGCATCATCGTGAGCGAATATCAATAGCATGAGCCTTGGCACACGAGTTTAAGGGCATGCAGTGTTCAGGCTAATTCTAACCCACACCGATTAGTACCAATCCTGAATGTGGGCCTCAGGAGAGGGGCATCTGCGTTAGTCGTGTCCTCTAATGTTGTCCTGAGTAGAGATAATGAGCATGGAACAGAGAAAGTGTTAACAAGCCACGCTCGAATCTATCAAGCTCCACCCAGGTAGTGGAAACCGTCTAGGTCTTCGCACAGGGGTTCGAGTTTTCTAGAGGATTAGCACATTCTAAATTTTATAACTGTAATCAGGGCCACCCATAGGCCCCAGAATGACAAAAACATAGAAGCTGAAACTGTGTGGACTCTTCCTTTAAAGCTCATCTTTGTCGCATTACGAGGCTCAACACCTGTGATTCATCAGCCAACCGGTGAACATATCCTGGATAAGTTGTACCTGTAAAGCATAAAATCCGTATTCACGAAGCACAGGGCTGGCTTAATCTCAACGGTTAAACCTACGCTTGAGAGAACCTTACCCCGGAAAGCGATTAATCCGTACTCAATCAAAGGCTTTAAAGGCAGTGTCCGAGCAAAAATTCGATTTTGAAATTTTGTGCTTGCCCGGGCCTATTTGCTATGCTGAATCTGAATTCACACTGGAGGGCGCGAAAACGACGAAAAAGGGCTCTAACACTAGAGGGAAATCAGCAGGTGGGCGGGGTCTTCCCCACTGTGAATTCACGCTTTCAGCTTCCAGAGCAATTTTCTCGAATCCGTTAGCCCCCTGACATCGCTACCGATCAAGTGCAAACGAATGACTTAAAACCGGAATCAAAAAGATCGCCCCCAAAGCTGGGAGCGTGAATTCACCGTGGGGAAGACCCTGCCCACTTGCTGATTTCCCTCCAGGATTAGAGCCCTCTTTCGTCGTTTTCGCGCTCTCCAGTGTGGATTTTCGGATTCAGCATAGCGAATAGGCCCGGGCAAGCACAAAATTTCAGAATCGAATTTTTGCTCGGACGCTGCCTTTAAGGGTAAATCCCACCCTTGAGAACGTAGCTCATCAAGGTAAATTTATCCTTATCCTTATCTTTACCCTGACACTTCGTACAAACACAAGAGCTCGCAGTGCACCGCTCAGTCTTAACGATACTGTTTTGACAAGAAACACATATTTCTCATTATTATTAAATTGTTACACAAGTCTTGTAACACTTTAAAATCTTACGACGATAAGTCGTACATTCATAAATTCAATGGAGCTCCAGGGACCATCCGTAGAGCAAGGCAAGCTCTACAAGATGGTATGCAAAAGTTGGCAACAGCTTCAACCCACCGTGAGTTTGCATCCGGAATGTAAGTCGTACTGAAGGCTCAAGAACTTCATGAAAAATTCATCTCTTCATTCCAAAAATCTTACGATTTCCAGCTTGCTCATACAGATTGCACACCACATCAGACACTCATATGTACCTTGCTGTATTTCCTCCTCATCTAGAAGTCGAGAAAACGATAATTTTTTGGTTCTTACAAAAACGAAGCTATGCTGTTTCTATTCATGTAATTGGATACTACATGTCTTTAGAAGTATAGCCGTAAATGTCCAGCTTTCCACATGCCTAGTTTTCAGAAAGAATTTAGCTTTTCTCTCTTGGGTGTACAATGCTAATCTCGGTATTTTTCAAAAACTAAGGCTTGTGAAAAGCTGAAAGTTTACGATTGCTTCTAACGGTTTGTGCTAAACAACTACATGAGTGGAAACAGCATATGTGAGCGTCTGATGTGGTGCGCAATCTGTGTGAACAAGCTGGAGATGCGGAGGATTTTGTTTTTGAACGAAGATATGAATTGTTCATAAATTTTTGTGCCTTCAGTACGACTCAGATTTTGGGTACAAATTTAGAGTGGGTCGAAAGTGGTGGAGATTTTTGCGTACTATCTTGTAGAGCTTGCTTTGCTGTATAGAATGATACCCTGGCGCCAGTGGCGTACCGAGGGGGGGGGGGGCGGGGGGGGGGGCGCGCCCCCCCCCCCCCTCCCGAGAATAGGTCGCGAAATTTTTGAAAGTTACTTATATGGGTTATAAAAATGTGCAAGTGACTTGTTTATACTTGTAAATAATTAAAATAATTTTTAAAAATTTTCAAAAATTCAAATTAGCTTTGTAAAAAAAATTTTTTCGGGAGCGTGGCTGACGCCACGCCCCCTTTTTCCAAATTTTAGGGGTTGGGGACCCGCAAAAATTTTGAAAAGCACCCCTAAAATTTTTTCAGAGTGCGTGGCTAATGCCACGCACCGTCATGTGAAAAAAATTTTTGTCGCCCCCCCCCCCCCCCCTCCCCCGAGCGGAAATCCTGGGTACGCCACTGCCTGGCGCCCTATTAAATCTATAAAGTTACGACATATCGTCGTAAGAAGTCGAAGTGTAGAAAGACTTATGCAACAATCTAATATTACCTCAGATTTTCTAAGTCCTTTCACCTCGTCCAACCATACCACAAAAACTAAAATAAATTTTTTTAGTATCTCAATGGTCAGCTTCAAGTTTGGTATCTAGTTGAGCTACGATATGTGATTCATGTATCGAAACATTTACTGAACGAGTATAAGTATTTTAGTCCACCAGTATATCGAGTATACTGGTGGATTAAAATTTGAATGAGGAAGTTCCATGTTACGAAAATTTCTCGCGTTGTTGAGCTTGATGTTTGCACATCAAACTCCTTAGTTGGACATGTACTTTATTCAAAACTAAATCTTTTACTATACCAACTCCGCCGAATGTAACACCGAATGTTAACATCACATGAAAACACGAAGAGAAACCTTAGGAAGTTTGAGATAATATTAGGTTGTCAAGAAAATAATGTCGTTTTTTTTCGGGTTTTTTCGTGTAAAATTGATACTACTCGAGAACTAGAGCATATCCAAGGCCGAAATTTTATGGTTAAAGTTACGAAGGTTTGTAGTATACAAGGACATATTTGGGAGGGGCCAGTACTACTGGGGGCGGAGTTTGACATTTTCCATTTTTCACTTTTTTTTGGTTTCTAAGCATGGAAAAAATATAGCAAGTGTACCTATGGATAAGTGCATGTGTCCTTTACAAGCAGGAGCAATTGAGAGGTTCGCAGGATTTTCTGGGACGAAAATTCAATTTTTGGCACCACGAGTTGCTCGTGTGTTTTGACTCTGAACTTTTCGTAAACAACAAGTTCTGCCAATGTTCGGATGTCATCTTGTAGAGCTTCCTTTACTCTATCGATCGGTGCCTCTCACGTAGTTTTTTGGATTTGTCTTATGGCGTTGCTAAGAAAAACGACATTATTTTCTTGACAACCTAATAGTAACCATCAATACAGTCGAGTAGATTTTCCGCTTAAAGCCCTGGCCATACGTACAGCGATTTTATCGTCGCGATTTCATCGCCGAAGAATTTCGTGATTGTAGCGACGAAATCGCGACTATCAAATCGCTCATCGCGGGTTCTGGACATACCTACCTGTTCAGCGATAAGGTGAAAATACACACCTCAGCACTCGTTCTACGTTTTCTTTGGCCATCCAAAAAGCAGTACTCAGCGTGATTTCTTTGCATTTGCAGATTTTTTTGTCTTTTTCGACACCACGTCCAGCATCAACATTTCATATTAGTTCGCGCATTTACATCGTCGTTCAACTTTTCTTGTTGGATACAGGATGCAAAAGCAATATTCTCAAGTTGTGGCTGCGGTTTTGCTGATTTTTCCGAAATTCAGATACCTAAATACTACGCATGTTATTCAGTTACGAGTTTCGAACAATTAAAAATATTCATTTTGACTGATGACGCGAATTGGAAAGGACGCGCATCACAACGCGACAGAAGTGCAATTGCGAAGCGCAAAAGGAAATCTGCATCACATTTTAACATCACCGCAGAAAAAACACGAAAAAAAGAACTATTTCAAAAACTTTCAGAAAAGAAATCTAACTCCAACGATATCGCTCTGTCGCAGGTTTCAAACTTGCGACGCGATATCGCAAGATTTCGGTCAAATCGCGGCGATATCGCTGGAATAGGTATGGCCTAGGAAAACACGGTCAGCGATCAGTAGCGCCGGACAGCTAGCACGACCGATATGCATAATATGCCGGCATGAAATAGGGGGTATTGCAGTTGTCCGATTGCACAAATCGCATCGCGGTAATTATTTTGACGGTATGGCCAGGGCTTAATATAGTGTGCTCGCACTGAAGGTGAAATGCGGCAAAATTTGCGCGTAAAGAAATAGCTACGCCTGTGACGCCGGCCATTTAACGCGCGCAAAATGTTGACATTCACGCGCAAATTTACCGCATTTCACTTTCAGTGCAAGCGCACATTATATTGAGCGGAAAATCTACTCGACGTACGTGTTTAATGTCAAAACAGTCGGTCGGACTGAGTAGTGCATCGGAAGATCATTTGAAATTTGTACGAAATGTCAGAAATCTAATCTTGCTCTGCGTTATGGTTAAATTAACTCTGGTGAGCCACGTTCGTGAATACAGGTTAATCGCTCTCCGGGTAAAGTTTACCCTTAAGGGTAGGATCTACCCACGAGGTTCGTAGATCAATACGGCTTAATCGCCCCCCTGGCTAAATCTTACTCTATCCTCAAGGATTCGCTGATGAATACGGCTACTGATCTATATGTTATCCATATTCTGTTCTCCAATTTCACATGTAAAGCAATGACTTTTTTCTTACAATTTCTGGGCAGGGGAGGGGGGGGGGGCGGGGAGGTCGAAAGAGGAATGTGACAAATTTTTTGATTTGATGGGTTTGGCACAGCGTCATCAGATCAAAAAATTTTAACTGCTGCTCGAGTTTTTGGGATTATAATTTTCTCTAAAATTAAAGAGTTAAGATTTTGAAAATTCTGTAAAAACTACTTTCATACATTTGCATATTTTCATCAAACGCTGGTTCCATATCTGGCTCCTTTGTCTGCCAAGCGCCTCTAAACCTCGATTTCTTTTGTGAAGTAGAATGCGCAACCAGAACAAACTCTTCTGGAATAGCTCAAATGGTTTAATATCAGAGCATTTTGAGAATTGAACATCTTTTGTTTAATATACACATACTCAATATCTGAGAAGAGGAAGGACCGAAAACTTTGCTTTCAATCAAATCTGCACTTTTTTGACTTCGAATTCCTCATTCTAAAAGCACAGAGATTTGGCAGATACAAACATAGATTCGAATTAGTGTTCGATGCTCACAATAGCTCGATTTTCGTTCACAAGGCACTTTAATCAAAAAGCTTTCCATCCTGACGGAATTAGTTGAATGGGGGGGGGGGACGTCACATACTCACTTGCACTTCTAGACTGATCACACTTCATCCGCAATAGTGTATCATGTGTGTAACATGATAAAAAAATCCAATAAAAGATATCAGTCATGAAGATGTAGTAACAGTTTTTGTTGGTTTAAAGGGAGAAACGAGGGAGGAAACGTTGACAGTTTTTGGATGGATGTATAGGGCGCCAGCTATATTCACCAAGTCAAAAAAAATTTTTTGAGCTCCTTGAATTTTTGAGAAGTTATAATCTCTATTGAACATTTTTTACAAGGCCAGAGTTCTGAAAAATTCCAAAAACTACTTCTTACAAGTAAAAGGTAGTCATGACTTTTTAACCATGTAGACAAAACTCAGCAATCAAAAGAAGTACACTGCATAGATAGAAGCGTGAAGAAAATTACTCAAGTTTTGACCTCTCTGTGTGGGGTCATTGAAAACCTGTAACTTGCAGTAAAAATCGGAGCAGTCAGTATCATATAATCAGTGTATAGTCAGTATTACAGCTCTTTCACTGTGCAAAGTTCGTGTTGATTGAGCGTCTTCATGAAAAGTTAAGTTTTTGAGCAAGATGCAAAAGCAGTAAAAATGTGAGCAGTGTTTCGTAAGTAAGCAACTACAACCATCTTCTTGGAAGTCGAAGTTCAAAGATTCCAAGGGTGCAAAAAATCGAAAAAAATGCTGAACTGGGAAAAAAATATTAGACCTTGAAAGATGTGATTTTGCAAGGAGTTTGAGCCAAGTACCGATGGTCCAAGTCGTCGTCAATAGGCTAAAAAGAGCAGCTGGCGTAAATTGTAAAAGACATGTTCCAAAATTTTTTTGCTGTATTTCAGATTTTTGACGATTTGGCCTTCCTTTTCTGATTTTCGTTTCTGGGTCACCTGTTGTCAAAAAGCCGCGAACATATTATTAGAAACAGGTGAATTTCTCTTCCCGGTGATATTTTTGAAAGCAAATACGCTCACATAGGGACCAGTTACGGATTTTTCGAAATCAAAGCGACATTACTGTCTATAACCTAGTATGATTAATCAATATACATCTTATTTATTCTCACTTTCCAACCACGATCGAAGTCAGTAGCTGAAATTTTTCTTTTCTCCCAGTCTGACGAAATGGCAATTCAAAAAATTCCGGATTAGAATGAATGTAAAAGTTGTTGTGCATTGTATTTCAATCTCACTCGTTTTCACTCAAAAAATTTTTGCAGGGTTCCTAAAAACTTCTTCGTTACTGAAACTGTATTAGATCTTACGTTCGGGCAACTTAGACCGATACGATTGTGTTTGTTCGGCTAGAAAGATTGCAAGTTTCTCTTCATCCAGATAACATTAGAGGAGAAATTAGATCTCAACTAGTAATACTTGTTTATTGTATTATCACGCAATACTGAATTTTTCTTTAAGTCGACTCATGGTGCTTGAGATATTCAGATGACATCTCAAACATAGAACATAGACCGATCCTTCCTCTTATTGTTAGATGACCTGTGTAAGTGGAATGAATTTCAAGCTAAAAAACGTTTTGGAAAATGTTATCATTGAAAGTTGTAAAGATTTCGTCTCTCTCTCTCTCGCAGTGTACTACTGTCGATTTCAGCGTTGCCTAGAATGCTCCAGTTCTTACTGGGACAATTCACCGGATCTTCCGCAGAACAGGCAAAACTTGCAACAAACAGCGAACAACTAAGGTGTCACTCGATGCAGATTGCTGTCCTCTTTTGTAAGGAGGTTTTCTTCCTTACTAGTGAGGATTTCGAAGATAAAATCATTGTAATTGTTCCTAAACGCACATCAAGCTGTGCCCGGAAAATTCGAAATTCAATATTCCGAAGCGGTAAACACTCATTTGCTTTGTTGAATTCATGTTTAATCGTAATTGAAATGGGACACTAATGTATGAAATTATGGAGCGCTCCTCATGGCAAGGCATTGATAATACAAAGGCATTTATGGCGAAGAGGGCGAAGAGATTAATACAATGTTGTCCCACAATTGTACCGTTATTACCGAGTTACCGCTTTTGAAAAACTTGCTTGAAGTTTCAAATACTGAGAAGTTACTATCAAAATTACAATTTGTGAAAATTTCCTTACTTTTCAGTTTTCCCTTCAAAATTCAAACTGAGCCGGGCAAAAGGCAGAGTGGAGGGTGATAATCTCCCTCCTCTCCATTGCCTGCAATAATAACAAACGGCTGTTGCATTACACGAAGTTGCCTAGTGGTCTGCCCTTCCCAAATAGCACTCGCATTTATTCGTTTCGATTACCCTTAGCCTTCTTGCCGATAGTGTAGGGTACTGCTGGCAAACAGTGGCCCAGTGTTCGCCATTACAAAAAAGACAATTGTGGGGTGGACGTGCAGAATTACCACGTCTTGGTTACTTTGTTGCATGAATTGTTGGTTGCCTCGTTGTTGTGGTGGTCCTGCGGGTGCTTTCGTCGGTGAAACGTCTGCTCCGAATTCCGATTCTGGTGCTAGTTCCCATGAGTTTAGTTCCATTCGCTGTTGCCGGTTTGCCACTCCATTTACCGTTTCCTGAAATGCTGTTATAAGGATGTCGTAACCTTGCCTTTTGATTTTCTAGTATGAAATTTCTATCGTGTTTCAATCCTGTGTTTTTAATTTGTTTTCTTTTGCGAGTCTTTAATGACAAAATTTTACCTTGTCAAATTATGTAAAATTACTAAAGGTTAACGCTTACCACCAAGTAATCGAGGCGTCGGTTGATCCTCGCGAAATTGGTATCTTGGGCTTTTACCATTTCCTTGATTAGGAGTCCTTGCCATTCAATTGGTGCAGGGGGTTCCGGCTCGGCAAATAATTCGTAATTCGCCCAGTGACTCCTTTGCCTGTTTTGGCCAAAATGTTTCTAGAGTTGTGTGGAGAATTGTGATTGGGACCGCATATAAATGTTTAACCACCGACAACGAAGCGATTTATTCCCAGGCACGATGTATAGGCAGTACAAAGACCATGAATAACACGGAACATCAGCTGAGAAGGCGAGGCGAGCAGACTGTCCTTCGATGGCGTTGAAGACCAAGAGTGAAGTTAGCGAGCAGCAAGCTCTTCTCCCTGCGCTTCTTAGATCCGAAGCGCTATATGATCGCCCTGTTCGCTTTCTCATGGCTTTCTTCCGAATGCTTACATTCTTGGCGATCGCTCTGCGACACGCGCCTTCATAAGCACTTTCATTCTGCTTCGCGCTCCGAAAATCATTGGATCTGAAGTCTTCGCTCTCACGTGTGCTATAAGTTATGCACGTGACGGAGCGTTGGCACGCGCTTGGCTAGCATTAGCATTATAGGTTCGGGAATGTAGTAAAGGAGGCGATATGATATGCAAAACTATAATCGTCTAATACCTTTCGTTGGAAATCACAAATAACTGCCACGCGGGAATTCATTGTACACGAGAAAGCAGCCTCAAACTTGGGTAATTAAACTTTATCTTGGAAACGAAAAGTCAACAATAAATTCAGTTGAACAGCTAACAAAGTGACATGAATAAATGAGATCTAAACTAAAAAATGTAATGAATTGAGAGAAGGCAAAACTAAAGAGCAAAGCAAATGGCGGAAACAAGCTAAGTACAACGGTACCTATATGCATGACTCTATGTCCTCTAGCTGCAGCTGCGTGCGATTTCACAGATGACGACCAAAAAACAACGCATCTGTGCTAGCATCTGTGCCATCTCCAAAAACTGTGGTACGAGATGCTTAACATCTCGTAGAGGGAATCTGAGAAGCTTTATCGCAGGTCAACGATGTAAACTGAGCATGTTCTTCCTGAATGTGCCGATGGGCCCAATAATACTGGTCAAATATGAGATGGCCGTAATTATCATTGTTAGTGCATGTAGTTGTAGTCAGTGGAGTCGGAACATAGAGTAGACCATTTTGAAGCTCCGCGAGACGTACTGTCCAAGGTGTAACACTCTTTACTTCGCTTTTGAATGTTGGTTGCATGATAGAGGGAAATGACTACAACTCCAAAGAGTTTAAGAATCGAAGTAGCATGTAAGGAAAAACGCAGCTGCATGTGAAGACCGAATTAAGAAACGAAGCGCAGCAGCGACAATGGTCATTCTATTATATCTGGCTTGAGTTCGCCGTCGTAGAATTCCCGTGTGATTTTGATAGAGCAAGGTTCTCTACGAGGATCAGTCAGGTCTTTCTTCCGCGGTCCCTCCCCAGTCTCTCAGAGGTGTGTACGCCGTTTGCCACTTGACCAACGGCGTAACTGCTTTATCGATATATGCAGATAAACCAGATGCAACACAGATGCAACACAGAATGACAGTACAGATAGACGATCCTTGACGCTTGACGTTTCTTGGGAGTAGACGACTGGTAGACGAAGCAATTCACAGAAGCGATGAAGAAGCAGTACTGTCCGAAGACCACTCATGCCCTCTTGGAAGTAGCATATCTTGTTGTTGAATCTATTGTGCGATATTCGATCAAACTGCATACTTCTCCATGGTTCGCGCCATTGCTTACATTCTTGATACGATATTATGAGCTCGCTCTGCGACAGTCTGTCTCAGACACATACTATGACCCACACCTCCAAGCAGATATGGCATCTTCTGTTCTCATCGAGTATTTGGCTCATATTAGGCGATGGAGAATAAACTTACAAATTTTTCATGGGCTTAATGTGAATCACATTCCCATTATTGCAAAAACAGCAGGGAATGTTTAAAGCAAAGAGACTTGTCTATATGGATGTGATGGATGAAGCAACAACGTGTCTTTGAAGAGGATGAGGAAATGAGGGGTTTACATTACATATAGTCAGTATAATAATTAGCTTAACGACGAGTTCAGCATTTACAAATTACCAGACCTCAGGTTCACGGAATAAGCAGAATCAGATTAGCTTGGCCAGAGTTCTAAATTTGAAGAAGTGCAGAGGGAGTACGAATGTGGTTGCGAGTAACTGAGTCAATGCGTGGCTCGTCGCTTCAAAGACAAAGAGATGAGTCATAACTTTGGCGGCGTTCTTCTAAAAACATTCGTGCTATGCAGACGTAAGCGATAAACGATTGCTGCTTTCAGGGCTTCTTCTTTCATCGCGACTTGAATTGTGAAACATGGCGTGTTTACCAATCGTAGGGTCCCGGTACTTATCATACAAGCGTCTAAAAGGGCCAGTACGTCTTTAACTACACTAACTTTTGGCGTTTAAACATGGTTTCGAAACATTGTTTACTACTGCAAGGGATACATTTACAGCAGCTACTAGGCAATGATTGTCGCACTCAATATCTGCTCAAGTTTCAATTAACTTACGTTCTCAAAGTGATTTATTGCGAATACGATTATTTATGACTTAACATAAAATTTACGGTTAAAGCTAAAAGGATAGCTTATTTGCACACACGGTCTCTGCCAGTTATTGTCTTACGAGGTTTGATTAGACCAAATATAAGTTGTGGTCATTTAGAAATATGCATTTTGAAAAATTTTGAAAGAAAAAGACAGAATTATGAAAACTGCTAGCTTGCAAAAGGATTACTCTATACCTGCCGCCTATCAAAGCTCTTCAAAAGTATAAAATGGAAACTCTGAGAAATAGCGAGAGTCGTAAAATAAAGAGCCGTATTTTGTCTATTATGTCTCAGCGCGATTGAAGGAATTACTTCGTTATCGTAACTTTAGTAAAGAGAAAGCCTGCGTAGGATGCAGGTTGAGTCGTTTGTTTATCTTTAGTGGGTGGATTGAAAAAAAACTGACGAAAGTTCTGAATCGACCTAATAAATTTCTGACAGCCAAGAGCTAACTGGAACTGGATGGAAACCGAACTGAGAAATGAGAATCAGATTGCCGTAAGCTTCGCACCAACGTTTTGAAAAACCGCTGTTCCCTCCATTTTCAAAGAATTTTTCTTTCTTAGATTTTTGAAAAAGAAAATTCTATATAACCTTGAAAAAGGTCAAAGTCTGCATGCTGAGCATAAGCCTATAAGTGGAAATAACTTAAAGTTGTACAATTAACGTAGATTGCTCGTTGTTGAGACAATGCTTCCGTCTCTGTCGCGGCTCGCGCGATGCAAGCCACTCCTCGATTCAGGAGCCGGGAGCACTGCAAGCCGCTGGATCGGGCGCGCTATTGCTTTCGTGCCCGGATCTCTCCTTGCTTGGGCGCGTTGCCAAGTCGAGGGGTACATAAGGCCGCGCAGCGCGCGCCATACACCTCTTTGTTTCGGTGACCTCGTTTTCAAATTCGTTTCATTTCTCACGTACTTTTATTGATCGTGCTTGGCAGCTACCCCAGCAAGCTCCCGTGGATGAAGTTCTTGCGAGCAGAGTGATTGTTAGAGCTTTTGGATTGTGCCGCGCTAACGCGCGAGGAAAGTTTAGAGCTTGGATTCAAGTTGTACCGGGAGTGGAGAGGGCTCGTACCTGTCCTACGCGGAGGCGAGTAAGCGGTCGACCCTAGGGATTCCCTGACATCGTATTCAGATTTAACTTGGTGATGATCGGCGGCTTGGGACGAGGCGGACTCGTCCCATATTTCTCCTTTTTCGTAGTTTAGATTTTCGTATGTAGTTCTTTTGTAGTATAATGTTTGCTGTTTAGATAAATTTAAGTAATCTAGTCGCGCTTTTCTTGTCATGGTTTATTTCCACCCCGCGGGGTATTTGTCGGTCGCGCCGGAGTAGCTAACCGGCGTTAGGATGTGCAGGAGTAGGAGCAGGATTGTGTTGGCAGTCGAGCGAGCAAGGGGGTGCTGAGCCCACCGAGCCGCAACAGTCTCCGTCCTTCGGTCTATAAGTTAGAGTTAGATTTCTTTGAAGCACTCGTTTTTTCGTTATTGCCTGATCTCCTATTCGAGTTTTTTTTTCCTCTGTCATCGCCTCCTGTAGGAGAATGCTCTCCGCTTTGATCAAAGTGCAATGGCCTTGCGTTAGCTATGCACAGTCGAATTGTTTGATCACTGTGTATAGAATCATTTATGTTATCATACAAAGAAACTAAAATGCTGCGTTAAGATCTATTGCGCTGAAGATTGGGTAGGTAACTTATTATTTAGAAGAGCAAATGCGTATGTTAAAAATGTTTCCCTTTCACGGAGATGTTTTGGATCAAGGCGGGAGCACATTGCACACAACAGGGGGAAATGAAAACATCGGTCAACGCCTTCTTTTTGTTTCAGCGCAGAGCAGTTGAGGCATTAGTAAATGAGTCAGTAACTTTTGGATGAAGCTTAAAACCGCATTACCGCCGTCCCGCATGTCTATGGATGCGAATTTCGTTGACTCCATGTTTGCCACTCATTCGCATCCAAAGCGCTTCCATCACCTTAAGGAACTGTATTCTTGACACTCCTCTTTATGATTTGTAGGTGTTTCACGACCGTATTATTCCCTTTAAATATTCGACAAGTCCTTCTCGGCTCCTTGGAGATCAGATTGCTTGGCGATCGCTCTTACTGACTATTCATTTCCAGTAAGCAATGCAACTTGCAGATCAGTCCAGTGACAAAGCTG